AGGGGTAGTAGAGACAGGAGGATCCTTTGGGCTTGTTGGCCAACTGGTATAGCCAAATCAGTGAGCTCCAGTTTCAAGGAGAGATCCTGTCTCAAATGGTAGAGAGTGACTGAGAAGTGAGTGACTCTGGCCTCCACATGCACACACACTGATTTGCAGCTAATGTAAGGAGCTGGAGAGTATTGTGTTAAGTGGGATGACAGGTCGGGAAAGATAAGCACCCATGCTCCCTTTCCTATGAAGGCACTAAGACAAGTTGATCTGAAAGAGGACTGTGTTACTAGAGGTTGGGAAGTGTATGGAGGAGAGGTGGAGAATGAGAAGCTGGATTTGGACTAGAAAGGCAGTGTACATGTATGGAAAAAAATCACACTAACCCAGTTAATACGTACAATCAATGTGTTAACAAAAATAAGCAATTTTCATCAAAAGATGAGTAGGAGTAGTCCATGTCATGCTTTTCTCATTAACAAAATAAAGAAGCTGGGTAGTATGACCACCCTGAGCAACATAGTGAGGCCCCATCTCAAAAAAAATTTATCTGGGCATAGTGCCACATGCCTTTAGTCCCCATACTTAGGAGGCAGAGGCAGACAGATCTCCATGAGTTCAAGGACAGCCAGGTCTACATAGCGAGTTCCAGGCTAGCTGGGGCTACAGGGAGACCCTGCCTCAAAAAGACCAAAAAAGAAAAAAATTCTACAATCCTCTAGGTTCCTGAATGTGTGGGAACCTGGGCTTTATCTCTGACACCCCTCCAAAGATAGTTGATAATCCTCATCTATATTAAATAAAAATAGTGGCATACTTTCTATTTAACTTCTCGTATAACTTTAATAAAATATCAAAACATCAATTTTACATTCAGGGAATTATTCTAAATCGAGTATTCTTGACTACGTTCTACATTCTGAGGATATTTAGGTACATTTTTCATGCTTTACCATTAGTTTCTTATTACATTGCTCAGCCCATGCACAAGGATCCACCAGGTTTTTGTTAAAATTTACATTGCACCTTTCAGAGTGTACATAAATATTTTTATTTTTCTCTAGTTGTTACATGCACTAATATTTCAGCTGCTTCACGTGCTTTTGCTGAAAGACAAAGTCTCTATCACCTAAAAGGCAATCAGGAATATTTAATAAATGAATAAATTATTTACACCCCTTCATTATACCACACAGTGCTTCTCATATTGCAAGTATTTAATACTTACTAAATGATCAACTGCTAAACAATAAATCATTTCTTTGAGGGATACACTATTTGTTAAAATATTTTTTATCATTTTTATTTTATGTGTATGTGTGTATTGCCTGCATGTAGGTAAGTGCACCCATGTCGTGCAATGCCCACGGAGGTCAGAAGAGGCTGTCGGATCCCCTGGGACTGGAGTTACAGACAGTTGTTAGCTGTCATGTGAGTGCTGGGATTCAAACCCAGGTCTTCTGCAAGAACAACCAGTGTTCTTAACTGCTTAGCCATCTCTCCATCCCCAAAAATATTTATTATTTTTATTTTATGTGTTTGAGTGTATTGCCTGCATGTAGGTTGGTGCACCCGTGTTGTACAGTGCCCGCAGAGGTCAGAAGAGGGCATCGGATTCCCTGGAACTGGGGCTATGGATGGTTGTTAGCCACCATGTGGGTGCTGAGAATCAAACCTGGGTCCTCTGCAAGAGCAGCCAGTGCTCTTAACCACTAAGCCATCTTCCAATCCCAAGGGGATGCAGTTTTAGTCAATCTCTGAGTTGTCATTATATCCTTGTAGAATGTAAAATATTGAGCTGGAAGTGTTCCTTCTTATTTATTTATTTAATGTATATGTGTGTGTACCTGAGTGTATGTGCAACACGTGAGTGCAGGTGGCTGTGGATGCCAAAGAGGGCATTAGATTCCCAAAACTGGAGGTACGAGAGATTGTGAGCTACCCAATGTGGGTGCTAGGAACCAAAATTGGGTCTTCTGAAAGAGTGACAAGTGCTGTTAATCACTGAACCATCTCTTCAACCTATTAGGGGACTTTCTGAAGAAATGTGCTGTGTTTTTGTAAAGGCCACGTATGTCAGCAGTACACTAGGATTAGAGGAAAGTAGCCTTTAATCCCAGCACTCGGGAGGCAGAGGCAGGTGGATCTCTGTGAGTTTGAGGCCAACCTGGTCTCCACAGTGAATCCAGGACAGCTGGGGCTACAGGGAGACCCTGTCTCAAAAAGACAAAAAAAAAAAAAATCAAAAAAGCTGCATTTGGGGATGAAGGTATAGTTCGTTGATAGAGTTTTTATCTATATGCTTAAAACCCAGAATTCAATCTCCAGCACCCATTCCCCATTAAAAGGGGTATGTTTGATTGTAATGTAAGCTAGAGACTAGATCATTATTAGTAGGTCAAATAAGAATAAATCATAGCAAATGCTTTCTCCTGCTGTATTTTCATACAGACACTAATTTTCAGCAGCCTGATTGAGGTACAGATCACATATCCTAAAACTCACCCATTTTAACTGTTCATTTTGGTGTTTTTAAGTATAGTTACAGTTCTGAAACTATCACTGTCATCTAATCTTATATTATTTTAAGAGACTATTTAAGAGACTAGTTTTGGCATTTTTCACAGGTTACCCCTGAAGTCCTAGAGTCAAGTGATCTTCCTGCCTCACTCTACTAAGTGGCTAGAACTACAGGTATACCATGGTTGGCCAAAATATGTCCTTAAACAATTGATTATTTTATTGTTTTGCCATTTAATTTTAGACCATATAATTGTACACAGAAGAAACTTTGATCCCATCACAACTCATACTTAACCACTAATTTTTCTGTCTCTATAGATTTACCCATTTGGGACATTTCATATTCATTAAATCATAACACACTTGGTCTAAGGGTCATACATGATTTTTACAGTTATTTCTTTTAGAGTGTGTATGTGTTTGTGTATACATATATGTGCACAGCCATGTGTGCCATAGCACACATGTGGAGGTCAAAGAACAACTTGTGGAAGTTGGTTGTTTTCTCCTACTATGGGAGACCCATGGATTGAACTGGGGCAGGCAGGCTTGGTGACAAGTGCCTTTACCTGCTGAGCCATTTCTTACCTGGCCCAAAGGGTCATTATATGTTACAGAATATGTCTGTATATTATTCTTATTGTGGACAAATGAGACTTGTGCCTGAACATACATATTTTCTTTACTCTTTAGTTGATAGATTTGAGCTGTTTCCCCATTTTGATTATTATGAATAATGATGCTATGAATATCCATGGGTAGATAATCTAGGAACAATTTCCTAGAATGTCGGCAATTCTATGTCTATCATTTCAACTTCTAAATTGTTTTCCAAAGCAGCTGCATAATTTCATTAATTCTGTATTTGTTACAATTCTGGAGATTGATCCCGCAGCCTTGTGCATGCTAGACAAGTCTTGGCGGTAGCAGATACTCCATGCGCAATATTTTCATTTCATCATCAATGAACGAAGGTTCCACTTTTCCCACATCCCACATTGCTTGTCTTTTTTATTACATTATTCTTCAGAGGGTGAAGTATGGTCTATGATTTTGGTTTGTGTTTTCCTAATGCCTAGTGATTTTAAGTATGCTGTCCATTTATTACTTTTCCTTTCATCAAATGTACTTTTGGTAGAGTATGTGAAAAAATCACAGGGGTAGCCGGGCGTGGTGGTGCACGCCTTTGATCCCAGCACTTAGGAGGCAGAGGCGGGTGATCTCTGTGAGTTCGAGGCCAGCCTGGTCTACATAGCGAGTTCCAGGCCAGCTGGGGCTACAGGGAGACCCTGTCTCAAAAAGACTAAAAAAAAAAAAAATGACAGGGGTCACTTCAATGCTTTGAGTTTTTTGTTTTCTTTCTTTCTTTCTTTCTTTTCTTTCTTCTTTCTTTCTTTCTTTCTTTCTTTCTTTCTTTCTTTCTTTCTTTCTTTCTTTCTTTCTTTCTTCTTTCTTTCTTTCT